TTCCACTCCAACCACACAGTTCTCCCTGCTGTTCCCCGAACGTGCCGGTCATGGCCCAGCATGAGCTGTGCGTTTGCATGTGCTTTTGCATGGCCTTTGCATGTGCTGTGCCCGCTTCCTAGTTATGTTCCTCTGGCTCATTCTTCCACCCAATTCTGGCCTTTGCTCCAAGGTCATGTCTTCCGAGAGGCCTCGCCCGACCGCCCTGATCCAGGAAGCCACCTCATCACTCCCTGCTTACGGTTCTGTTCCTGCTTACGGTTCTCATTACCTTGTTTTATGTCACCAGCCATTACATCACACATCTAAGTGTCATTGTTGAATCCCTGTGAGCTCTGCGGCATGGACACCAGGCCCCTTGGTCCCGGCTGGGTCGCAGTGATTTGAACAGCACCAGCCACTTAGTAACTGATGAGAGACTGCGATATTTATTGAGCACCTATGGTTTGCTAGGCGGTGGCCTGGGCACTGGGTACATGACAGGGACGAGGCAGACACTCCCTCCCCCACCCATCAGGTGGCCAGGCTGGTGGGACAATAGATATGAACCAAATGATCACACAACGGTTAATCAGCCAACACTGATTTGGCGTTTGTTGTCTGTATACCAGGTAGTAGTACTCAGTTAGTCAGTTAGTCCTCACCACTGCCCTGTGAAGGTAATACTATACCATTGATATCCTGTAGTACAAATGGGGAAACTGAGGCACAGGGAGGGTAAGGGTCTCCCCAGGCCCCGCAGTCTGACAGATTATTCCAGGAATAGTCCTCGTGCCCGGCCTCCCATGCTCCTATGTAACCCTCTTGTCCTGACTCAAGCCTGGTCATGTGCCGCATGCGGCTGGAGGGACAGCAGCACGTGTGACACATGCGTTTGAAGTGCTCATGTGTCAGGACCTGCCTGCCTGCTGCTCCTGGATGCCCACAGGTCCCTCAGGGGGAGGAGCCGGCCAGTCTGGCAGTCGCCCCGTCAAGGGCAGCCAGATTTAGTAACTACACATACAGGATGGCCAGTTACATTTGAACTTCAGAGAAACAATGAGTGATTTTTTCAAGCATCCATATGTCCCAAATATTGCATGGGACATGCTTATACTAAAAAAGTTATTTGTGCCCTAGCTAGTTTGGCTCAGTGGACAGAGCATTGGCCTGTGGACTGAAGGGTCCCGGGTTCGATTCCGGCCAAGGGCACATGCCCGGGTTGTGGGCTCGAACCCCAGTGGGGAGCGTGCAGGAGGCAGCCAATCAATGACTCTTTCGCATCATTGATGTTTCTATCTTTCTCTCCTTCTCCCTGCCTCTCTGAAATCAATTAAAAAATTATATATATATAAAATATATATATATAATATATTTATGTCATGTGTTGCCCAGCCAGCATAGCTTAGTGTCTGAATGTCAACCCATGAACCAGGAGGTCATGATTCAATTCACCGTCAGGGCACATGCTCAGGTTGCTGGCTCAATCTCCAGTGTGGGAGTGTGATCCCCAGTGTGGGGTGTGAAGAAGGCCGCCAATCAATGATTCTCTCTCGTCATTGATGTTTTTATCTCTCTCTCCCACTCCTTTCCTCTCCGAAATCAATAAAAATGTGTATTTTTAAAAATCTGCTATTATAAAAAAAATCATTTGTTATTGGCCTAAAATTTGCATTTAACTGGTGTCCTGGGTTTTACCTCACAACCCTGTCCCCTAATCAGATGGCAGCCCTGACTCCACATGCATGAGAGGGGTTCCCTCGAGGCATGGCCTCCTGAATACCCCACGAGCCTGCAGGAGTCAGTTAAACAAGAATGATGCTCAGAGGGAAAGAAGGGGGTGCTGCAAAAAGTGCTGAGAAGCAGGCCCGGGAGGGAGGGAGGCAGGGTTCTGGCATTTTAGTCAGAAGCTCGGTTTGTATTTCAGCCTTTCTAATGGCCTGGGAGAAAACGCTCCTCCCTTCTCGGATCATAATACAGGGAGCCGGGGAAGCCAGGGAAAAGCATCTACAGCTCCCAGGAATGAGCGAGGGGCAGCCGGGCCCGCAGATACAAGATCTGAGAAGTGCCTCCCAGTGGGCTGCCCGGTTTCGATTCACCCTGAGAGTCCCTCCACTTTGCAGACAGACCCGCCCTCCTGTGGGAATTCCACTAAGAATTTATTTAAACCTTTCACCAAATACCTCCTGGGCAGCCAGCCGGGCAGGTGGATAGAATCCTTTCCCTGTTTTCCAAGGGGACTGCCTCATGAAAAGAATTAAAATGAAAAATACATTTGAAAAACAGGACAATTCCAAGGGTTGAACTTCTGGCCTCCTCAGGACATGCCAGTCGGGACAAGTCAAGAGGACATTGCATTTTTAGGGCACTTCAAGTTTGTGGGGGTTTTTTTAATCCTCACCTGAGGACATTCTTCCATGGCTTTTAGAGAGAGTGGGAGGGAAGTGTGTGTGTGTGTGTGTGTGTGTAGAGAGAGAAAGAGAGAGAGAGAAACATCGATGCCAGAGAAACACATCTATTGGTTGCCTCCTGCACGAGCCCCTACCGGGCCAGGGATCAAACCTGCAACCAACGTACGTGCCCTTGACTGGGAATCGAACCTGCGATCCTTTGGTGTGCAGGCTGACACTCTAACGACTAAGCAAACCGGCCAGGGCCCCTTCTAATTTTTTAAACCCTCCCTGATGGTTCCCAACAGCCTTCTCATGCCTTCAAGAGAGCCAATACGCCCCCACCATTTATAGCGTTAAGATACACATAACAGAATTTCCTGTCTTAACCATTGCTAAGTGTACGGCTCAGTGGCATTAAGCACATTCACACCGCCGTGCAGCCAACCCCACCATCCGTCTCCAGAACTTTCTCATCTTCCCAAACTGACACTTTGACCCCATTAAACACTGACCCCTCCTCCCCAGCCCATCACCGCCATCGACTTTCCGGCTCTGTGACTCTCACTCCTCTAGGCGCCGCCTGTGAGTGGAATCACACAGCTCTTGCTTGGATCAGCACGGACTGACTGCAGAGCAATGCCTGACTCAGGGATGGGGCGGCGTCAAAGTCTGGGCCTGGCGTTACTGAAGACGGTCACCCCACAAGCACTGATGGGGCACCTCCTGCGCACCAGGTGCTGGGGACGCTGTGTGACCCCGACAGCCCTGTGCGGTGGGGTGAAGGCCAGAGGTCCCGGTGGGAGCAGTGAGTGTCACCCAGAGGAATGAACCAGAAGGAGGAGGGTTTATTTCACGGTGGATGTGGACCAGCAGTTTGGGGGGGACAGAAGAACCCTTTTAGCCCACAGATCAAGCCCTTGTTGTGAGGTCATGTGCTATCCCCAGGGCTTTGCTGCGTGCTGCAGCGGGGCCGAGGGCAGGGCGGGGGCCCTCAGACCGGGCGCTCAGGTTTCCTTCCTCAGACTGGACGGTTTCCCAGGGGTGGAGTGGGGGCGCGTCCCCCTTCTCAGATTGGGACTTAGAGGGGGGCCGAGTGTGCCTCTCCGCAGACCGGCAGCTCCTCAAGGTGCCAGGACCCATGCCTCCCCCCACCCAGCCTCTCCGCCCCCAGACTAGTGGGAGCAATGACAACTGGAGTGGGGGAGGGGAGCGGGTCTCCTTTCTTCTCGGACCAAGAGCGTTTGGCAAAGTCCTAGAAGCAGGAAGAATTGACAGAGGTCCCGTTTCATCCCCAGCTTTAGACCCAGAAAAAGCAGAACAATTTCTCTAGGAAAATAAAATCAGAACAGAAAGCCCTGGGGTCAGGGCGCACACCCACACTTGGGACTGTGGGCGTGTCATTGTGGTCCTCGGGTTGTGGGTTTAAATGGGGACCTGTTTCCTAAAGCAGGGGGGCTAGGGGATGGTCTTGGCAGTTCCCATAGGGTCAAGGTTCCCCCGTCTGCAGGCTCAGTCCTCATCCTCACTGGCATAGAGACCGGCTTCCCAGCGTTCAGCCATCGCGTTCTTGTGGCGGGTCACCCGCGTGGCTTCCAGGACCTGCAAGAGGAGGTACAGAGTCCCCATGAGAGTCCTACCCGCCCCCCCACTGCCAACTCAGGCTAGGCTTAGAACAGGGGCAAAGCAGGGCCACCCCCTCCTCTGTTTCGACCTTCAACTCCTACTAATAGCACCAAGGGATGTGCTGACCCATGGGAGCTCCATGGCAGGGGAAATATCTGGGTCTGGCTTTGCAGGCTCAGCTCCAAGATGGCCCCAAATATGTTCCACAAACCCACTGAGGTAGCGGGCCTTCTCCACACTCTCAGATGAACCCCTCCCTCAAAGGAAACGCCCTTGCCTTGGGCCCAATCTGTTCCAAAACCTTCATCATTTGACAAAGAAGCTGCAAGTGCACCCATTTTGCACAATCTGTGCCCATGCAGGCATCACAAGCAGATCCAAGCAAAATCCACCGCGGGAAGACACTGCCAATCAAGGAGCTACCCAGTGACGTTTTCACATCCCAAAGAAAAGCTTTTGATGGCCCAGGTGTCATGGGGCAGGGGGCTCAGACAGGGGAGGAGAAGACAGTCCTGGCCCCCAGGAGCACACTCACCTCCGAGTTGACGCGGTCCAAGGGGTTGATGCCGGCATACTACAGGAAAGGAATATGCGTCAGCCCTGGCCTTCTGGCCCTGCCCCACCCCAGAGCCCGCCTGGAACTCAATGCAAAGTCCACTTGGTCACCCCTTGAGGCAGGAGGGAAGGTGTTCCATGCCCACATGGTCCTCCTGAGTGCCCCTCGATTACCACAGATGCAGCCATCCACCATGCTGTTCCCTCATGCTGTTCCCCCCAGTGCAGCCTCAGGCTACCCCTTGCAGTTTTTTTTTCTCTTTCTGTCAACTTCAGCATAATAAAGACAGTCACTATTGATGGAACCCATCCCATGGCCAGGCCCTGCTGTCAGGCTCGGAGATGGCTCGTCTCATGGTAATTTCACAAAGGAGGAGATTGAGGATCAGAGAGGGGCAGGGACTTGTCCAACATCACACAGCAGCCAAGTGGCAGAGCTGAGAGTTGAACCCAGTTCACGGTGCCCAAACCCACGAGGCCAGGCTGTGAGTTCCAGGTGGGTGAGGCTGGAGTTGGTATTATTCTCCATGGTGTCCCCGGTCCTCCACTCAGGGAGGAGATGGCCTCATAGTTACAAATGTGTGGCATGGATTCAGGCCTGGGTGCAAGTCCCAGCTCAGGAACTCAGGGGCCACGTGACCTTTGACAAGTCGCACTCCACCTTCCTGTGGGAGGTGTCAGAACTCATCCAGGCCTCCGAGGGGGGTGGCCAGGGCTCTAGACTCACCCATTGCTCCTTCTTCTTTCTCTGCCCAGGAGCAGCCTCAGCAGGGGCCTCTGCCGTCCACACCAGGCCCGAGTGCAGGCGGATGGGGGAGAAGAAGTGTGACTCGGACACTGAGTAGCTGCCTGTGGTGCCTGCGGGGTCAGGGGGAAGGACGGAGCATCAGGGAGCGTGCCATAGTCCCTTGAGGGCAGGACATCTATCAGACCAAGGCCTGGGAGACACAGACTATGGGGACCACGTAAGGAGGCAGGGGAGTGAACAGACGTGCAGAGCAGGGAGCTTGCAGGCAAACTGACAGAACGACCAAAACAGCCGTAGCCGGTTTGGCTCAGTGGGTGGAGTGTTGGCCTGCGAACTGAAGGGTCCCAGGTTCGATTCCGGTCAAGGGCACATGCCCCGGTTGTGGGCTCGATCCCCAGTGGGGGCCTTGCAGAAGGTAGCCAACCCATGATTCACTCTCATCGTGGATGTTTCTATCTCTCTCTCCCTCTTCCTTCCTCTCTGAAATCAATAAAAAAATATATATTAAAAAAAAGAAAAAGAATGACCAAAACAGCGAGTCAGGAAGAACTGGGCAGATGGATGGGTGAGATCTCACGCCAGGTGAAAACATTAAAAGTGACACAGGAGATCTTTCATAACAAAGAGGAACAATTGACCAAGAGGATGCAGCGTCTGTAAACCTTTTATGCGCCTAATAACAAAACCTTCAAATCCATAAAGCAAACGCCACAGTGCCAAGTGGACATCTCTCTCCAAAATCTACCGTTTCCGGGAACATACAGGCAGAGAGACCAGCCAACTGGGGGAGTGGACAAAGTCCTCCAGACGTCCCTCCACGCTCAGTCCCTCTCGATCCCCCCAACTCCCCCTCCCCACCCTTCTCTGCTCCAGTCTCCGGGACCAGACCAAGCAGCCGTCCCGCCCGGCCCTTCCTCACCCGAAGCCCGGGAGGAGCTCCTGGAGTCGGGGTCACAGTCCAGCGGCGGGGAGAAGACCTCCGGGAAGAGGGCATTGCGTCGCTCCTCCGCCACCTCTTGCTCCCGCCTCAGGACGCTCTCCACCTCCCGCTCCAGCAGCTCAGAGGACTGGGACCTTTGGAGCCGCAGAGGGGGGGCCCCAGCCACTTCCCAGCCCCAGGATCGGGGCGTCTCGGCCTTCTGGGGCACGTCTGGGACCCTGAACCGCAGGGGACGCAGGCGGAAGTACCCCCATCGCACGACACCCCTGTTGGCTGGTGGGGGTGCCCCTGAGGGCTTCCAGGACTCCTGCTTTGTGCCTGAGGGTTTTCTAGAGGATTCCGAGAGATGCCTCGGAGACCCCGCGGCCTTTGCCACCGCCTTGGCCTCGTCTGCAGCGAGACCGCCAGGCTGGCCCCGTGCGTGGAAAGCTGGGAACCTTGGCTGGGGGGTCCCCGGGCTCAGGTACGGCTGGTAGGCGTCAGGGTGGATGCGGTTCACCTTCCTCAGCTCTGGAGCGGGGGCGGCCGCCCTGGTGTCGGGGGCCAGGCCC